AGTACCTAAGTTCTGCTGCTAAGAAGTTGTCCTAAGTTCTTGAGGTTTGTTTGAGCACCTTGAAAGCCGAGGAGTGATTAATGTACAGGGTCTTAAAGAAGCTGGGCAAATCTTATCAGCCTTGTTAAGATGTGTCCGGGGAGAAGGAGGTTATCAAGGAACAGCCCAAGGAACAAGCCTGAGGACTAAGATATTAACTCTCTCCCGGCAGGAACAAGTCAAACAGCTGGTCAGGGGAACTCTTCTCATAAACTTTCCTTTTGTGATTCTTGAAGTATTGCAACCTGTCATTCCCCTAATTGGAGTGGTAGAACCTGTACTTCCCTAGTTAGAGTGGTACGAGCTGCCCTCCCCCTGATGGAATGGTATAACCAGTCTTTCCCTAGTTGGAGTAGTATTAAACCTGCCCTCCCCCCATAAGAGTGGTACAACCTGCCCTCCCCTAGTTAGAGTGGTATAACCCGTCCTCCCCTACTTAGAATGGTATAACCTGCCCTCCCCTAGTTGGAGTAATATAACCTGACCCCCCATAAAGTGGTATAACCTGTCCTCCCCTAATTGGAATCGTACAACCTGCCCTCCCTCCATTAGAATGGTGCGACCTGCCCTCCCCCATAAGAGTGGTACGGGCTGCCGAGAAGCTCCTTTGATGTCTTCAGAAGACAAGACTCCCAAGAATCCTCGGATCTCCGAGACGCGAGCGTAAGGAAGAAAGCATGAGGAAGATTCCTCCTCGCGATAGTTTTCCCCAAGATTAAGCCCCGCAGCGTCTTAGACTTAATAACCGTCTTGGAACCTCCCCGAGTCGTCATACATCAAAGCTGAGACGTTTGCGATGCCTCGCGGGCAGGCAGATGTACAGGGAAACCCCCTTTTACACCCTCGGGCAGACAGACGTGCAGGGAACCCCTCTCACACCCCCGGGCGAAATGCTCACTGTTCATAGAGATGTGTCTACAGACATGTCATAACTTCTACTGACTTTTCCTCACCTGTATCAGAGCTCTATGGGTACATATTAACTTCTGCTGTTAGTCTGCTCCTGCTCATAGAAATGTTTCCACATCATAGTACATCTCCTAACTTCCGATGCTGCTCTAAGAAATGTTTCTACACGCCCCAACTTCTGCCTTGGAGATACGTTTTTCTGACACAGTTTGATTTTGAACTGCAATTCCCAACAAAATTTCAACTTCAATTTTTCTTGAGCCGAGTTGAGGATTGTAGGAATCTACTTGAGAGGACTGATTGCACAATTGTATGGCCCAAGGGCTACTGAACCGGAGATGGGCGCTGCCCTATGCACCACCTGGTTAACTATAACTTAAAGGGAATAAGTGACTTTGCCAGTTTATCCTTCTTCAATCTATACAGCTTGAGTTGAAGAAGTTTTATTCCATCTCTCCCCTCATCACACAGCCGACGTAACTTTTGTTCTCTGACAAATGAAGCTTGCTTCTGTTTTCCCCACTAATTAGGACACCAAACTTATTATGGATTTTTCTGAAAAAGTTGGAATCCCAACTTCAATTTTTTTAACGATTCAAAGAATAACTTGAGAGGATTTGTGATTTTTTTCAGTTTATCCTAATCCACTCTGCAGCTTGAGTTACATTAGTTTTATTCCGTCTCTCTGTAACTTTTGTTCTCTGACAAATGAAACTTGCGTCTGTTTCCCTCCCTAATTACGACACCAAACTTATTACCCAGAAAATTTCCCTGTCATCCCCTGACAAGTTCTATAATAAACCGACAAGGCTTCGGGCTACAAACACGATGCGGGGAGGTCCCTAACGGCACAGATAGTCGTCATGACGACTATCGCTATGACAACTATCTCCCAGTTCTGTTCCGCGAGCATCTGGCATCTCGCTCTAGCTGGGGACGTTTTTGCGAACGCGCTACGAGAAAATTCCTCCGATGGGGACCATGGCGAACCAGCACCCGTTTTCCGTCAGTTACAGGAACTTTGCGGCATGTGAAGGAATCTTTTTAAAAACAAGTCCGTCAACCTCAATAGACAAAATTGACAAGAATTTTGGTTACTAAAAATAGAAGAACATCTGGCATCTTGTTCTAACTGGGGACGTTTTGCCGAACACGCTACGCAAAAATTCCTCTGCTAGACTGGGGACCAGCGCGAACAAGGGCTCTAGCCAGCAACCGTTTTTCTGTTAGTAACTGTTGCAGGAACTTTGTGGCGTGTGATGGAATTCTTTTTAAAACAATTCAGCAATCTTGATAGACAAAATTGACAAAAATCTTGGGTAAAAATATAAAAACATGCAAAGGACAACTGAACCACTCTCAACCCCATGAATTTCCTCTCACAATGTGGGAAACTGCATTTTTAAAGGCTTCAAAACCTAAAATTTGTCCCTGTCCTTATTATATATAGTACCTCTCCTAAGCTGTTTAAATTTAGAGTTTTCTCTTAGTATTTTCAGGAAAATTTGCTGATTTTTCTTCACGACATCAACAAATTAGGGAGCACCTCTCCCCTAGAAATTTCTAGGGAAACCCCTGAAATTTTTGAGCTCACTAGTATTTTCCTGAAAATTCGATTTTGGCCATTTTTTTTTTCACAACATCAACAAATAATCTGAGCTCGCTAGTATTTTCCTGAAAATTCAATTTTGGCAGATTTTTTTTCACAACATTAACAAATAATTAGGGAGCACCTCTCTCCTACAAATTTCTGGGTAAACCCATGAAGATTCTGAGCTGACTAGAGCCAAGCGCGAACCCTTTGCAACGTCAAATCACACGACTTTGCGCTGCTGTCTCGATGACAAATCGTGGCAAACAACCGAAGCGTCATAACTCACTCCACAGGCAGCACAGCTGGCAACTTCCAGCGTAGCTCGACATCAGTCAAACTCCGGGAACGCATTATAGGCATGACCCACACACTACTCTCTATAATCTACCTACGTAATAATCACGACCCATATACAACACATTATAATCATGACCCATGCACAATATCGTCCTGACCCACGCACACATAACTATAACCCACGCACACATAACTATAACCGTACACAACACTCTATAATCTACCCACATCATAATCATGACCCATATACAACACATACTCATACTCATAACCCATACACTATATACAGAACACATTATAGTCCTACCCACGCACACATAACTATAACCCATACAGAACTATCTACAATCTACCCACATTATAACTATAACCCATACAGAACACATAATGATCATGACCCACGCACAACACACTATAATCTTAGCCAATAGAGAACTCATATTCATAACCCATACAGTTCATACAGTACACAGAACACATTATAGAGACCCATAGACAATAGATAAATAATAGACCCATACAAAACACTATAAGGCCACACCAATTTAATTTGTTGGTTCTCCTATTCACCTCTTCATTTTTTTCTGGTTCTGAATCAAATAAAAAATGCTCATATTTTACCCCCAACAGCGAAGGAGAGTCCTTTTCTTCCTAGTTGTTACAGTTTTTCCATCTAACAAAAATACCTGGTTTGATTAAAAGTTCAAAATTCATTGTTTGAATATTAACCAGGCTTTTGTGCCTATCATAGCATTAGGGGCCTTGACCTGTTTTTTAATTTTTTTTTTATTTTCGCCCTGTCGCTTCATATTTTTTCGGAAAAAAATCTGAGAACCAACAAATCAAAATGGTGTGGCCTAACAATAACCCATACACAACACTCTATAATCATATACATTTTGTAAAAGCCAGCTTCCAACATAAGAAGACTCCAGCGACTATTTTCATGTCCCTAATAACTGACGGGCCCCTAATTTGTCACCAGCTGGAGTTGCTTACATGATAACAAGGGGAAATTGTACCAAAGAAAGCTTGTTGTGTTTACAGATATCGAATATCCCCAGTATCATTAAAGCCTGCAATGATTACGCAACAGCCTCAGACAGAAATCTCATCCATTAGCCGATAGAATTATTAATGGAGATTCTAAATTCGACGGAGTAAACATGCTTTTAAAAGATCATATTTCAGTAATTCTGGAAAAATCTGGTTTTGTTCACGCCAGGGTAATAATCGCCAATCACTCACCGAAACGATTCGCGCTTAAAATAACATCATTGTCGCTTTGAAAGGTCATTTTCAACCGTGTCATTACGGTAAAGACGGCTTTATCACCGGCTACCGGTGGACTTGACTGTTGTACTTGAGATAGAGGAATTTGTCAAAGTCAAGTTTCTATCTAATTATAACATATTCACTACTCAATACTCTTGTATTTGGAATCATAACATTGTGGATTCAAAATCTCTTTCTCAGATTCCATACAGTCCCTCACAGCTTTATTACCGGTTACCGGTGGACTTGACTGTTGTACTTAAATTAGAGGTATTTAGAACCATGACTCAAAGTCAAGTTTATAATTCTATAAAAGGCTCTGATTATAACATATTCAACACTCTTGTATTTTGGGATCATCACAATGTGGATTCAAAATACATTCTCTCTTTCTCAGGTTCCATACAGTCCCTCAAACCAGTGACATCAAGGTTCAAACCATCTTGTCTGGGCCTGAGTTAGGGCCACAAGGGCTGTGTACAGGTACAGGTACACATTCAAGATGTTCAGATCTGGACTTGCACTTGGACCCGAATTATCTCATAGGTATACTGATATTATCAATGGTTTACAAAAGAGAAGTCAAACCCTTCAGACATAGTTTTAAATAACTAAGTTTTACAATGTAGATTTTGAAGTTATTTTGTACTGTTTCAATGTTTTCTTTGTTATTTGCAATTAGCCTTCAGGTAGGGATTTGCAATAAGCTTATCATTTATACATGTAGTTACCTGCAGCTGTATTTAGTACTTAGTCTATTATAGGAACAACAGATTTTCAGGTCTGGACCTGTACCCAGATAATTCTTTAGGTATCATTTAAACAGCTCTGCCAACAAAAGTAATTAACAGGAATAAATAAACAAACAAACAGGAACGTGACTCACCATCTTGTTGTTGATCTCGTGGAAGTGGATGTCGCACACTTTGTCCACAATGTCTTCGCTCTCGAATGTTACAAATCCAAAACCTGACAAACAAACAAACAAACATTAGAATGAGGGCTCATTTGTGTTGATGGACTGAAAATTTATGGTGAGTTCCTTCCTTGTGCTGGAACAATAAACAAACATACTAACACGCAGAAATATAAATCATCTCACATCTTACAAAGCATCTCTGGAGCTACGCAGAAATGTGAGAGCTTGTTCCATCGGAAAGTTCCAAAATGGGATCCTAAAAAGTTTTATACAGAAATCAATCCCATCCAAGATTGTCATCGATATTAATGTAACAAACTTCATGCATATCAGAGTAGAATATTTTACATTAAGGTTTTATCACTTTATACATAGGTGTGTGTTTCTGTATAAGCATTTGCATGTGTGTATGTGAGCGTGTGTGTGTGTGTGTGTGTGTGTGTGTGTGTGTGTGTGTGTGTGTGTGTGTGTGTGTGTGTGTGTGCTTGCGTGCGCGCGTGCGTTTGTGTGTATGCTTGCGTGTGCATCCCGACTTCCCAGAGCCACAGAAGTAAAGCCCCAGCATCACGTTCCCCAATAAAAACCCCACCAGAGTTGTTTACATCGTTGTCGGCGGTAACGGCTGTCTCAGTTTTACCGCCAGATTTTACGAGTTTACCTCCCATCACCCGCACCCTTTTTACCGGATCCCCCGTTATTCCGGATCAGGATTGTGGCGAAGCTTTCAGCTCTCACGCGGCCGCGCCGTTACCGCTTTTATTCACCCGCGTACGATACCAGCGGGACGCGCGATGGGCGCGGGAATTATTTACAACCAGATGTCTTCATTTCACCGGTTTATGGTCTCACACTAACGTTCCTAACAGCCCCGCCGGGAGGGTGCATTGTGGGACTGTCGGCGATCTATTGAACCGCAGACGGCACCGACAACAGAAGTCGTACGTTTTACCTCCCGAAGCTGCCTCAACAGAAACAGCGGCGCATCTGTCCGATTTACTGACGAGCCTCAATAGAACACTCGTCGCTACATAGCGGCCTCTCATCGAGTCTCAATAGAACATGCGTCGCTACATAACGGCCCCCCCAACAAGTCTGGTCAGAGTTTACTGCTGAGCCTCAATAGAACATGCGTCCCTACATAACGCCCTCTCACCAAGTCTCAATAGAACATGCGTCACTACAGAAAGCTTTACGGTAAACAACTCCTGCAATCAAATGTGCAAAGATTGAGTGTAACAAGTCGTTTGGTGTGATATAGCTAGCTGCCGCCATGCTGCGTGCCTGCGAAGCTGGTGTGTTACGCAGAAGGGTGGTTATACCTGCTATATCGATACAGATACAGATACATAACGGCCCTCCCACCGAGTCTCAACAGAACATGTGTCCCTACATAGCAGCCCTCCCACGGAGCCTGGGCAGAGTTCAGCCTTTTTAACGCAGGGCGGAACAATGAGCACAGAATCACACCGACTAACAAAGGTCACCACAGGCTTCTCCATACCCATTCATTCCACAAGGAGCCTCCAAGGATTTATTACAACCTCTCAAGACGCTCTGAGGATTTATTAAGACGTGAATCCTGATCTTATTAAAACCTGACGTTCTCATTAACCCGGTTTTGAAGCACAGAAGACGTAACTCGATCCTTTCTTACACACTTCCGTCTGACTTATTCTCGTCACCGCCTCCTTCCTGTTTCTTTGTGCGTCTTGCTTCTTGAAGACACGAGGGAAGGAGTCCTTAATTCCTTCTGTTCACAAAGAAAGGACTTGGAGAAGCTTGATGGATTAGATTTTGCAGGAGTAACCGAGTTAGAGGCTTGTGACGCGAATGTGGGACAGGTTTGCACAGGGTGTTTATTCTGCAGATCAGTGTTAGAAATACCCGTCTGCAGTCTGCATTTTGCAGACAAATTTTCGATGTTCAAGAAGAAAAAGCAGCCTGCAATTTTGCAAACTGAAAAAAATCAGGCTAGGGGTTCAATTGTGTCTGTATAATATTCACACTTTTGCTTTTCATATAGCAAATTACAGAAAGTATTGACTCAACTGAGGATTATATACAATATGAAGTAAATTTCTTTCCCATATTCTGAAGTTTACAGGTACAAAATGTAGCTGAAAACATTTTTAATTACCATTTTAATTCCAGTCCTGTTCGTTAGCAGGTCTAATTAACCAGTAACGGCCCGCAGCCCAGCCAGGCTTGTAACAACATGCAGCTAATATTAAATGTTCCCAATTGCTCCCTAGAGGGGGTGGCAGTAATGCAAACAAATTACATCCATTTTACCCAAACAAGGCGGAATGCAAAAACAGATACATAAAATTAGGAGAAAATAAAATCATCTGTCTTAACCATTTATCTACCCAAATGGATCCAACGAAGTATAATAATATAAGAATGGCTCAAACACATTTTTAGAAATACCCTGGATCCACTTTTACCAGTCCTTTTACTTGCTCTGAGGCAACAGACACCTCTAACAATGCTATTAGAAGTATGCACAGCTTTAAAATAGGGCAGATAATATTAACACAATTAAACTGGCACATAATAGGTTAACAGAATATCAAATGTAATTTTTCCTAACTCACAACCACTCATTTATGCAAAATGGATCTAAGAAAATAGCGTTAGTTCTAAAAATACTCTGTGAGTCCATTTTTACTTCCTGAGTGAACCACTAGAATCTCTCTAACAGTGTAAAATAATAAATAACAAAATAATATAATAAAGACCAATATAATAAAGTCAATTTCCTAACTCACAACAATCTATACAAAATGGATCTCAAGACGGTAGTTCTAAAAATACTCTTGGTCATTGGCCATCATACTCATTTTTAACAGTCTGTTTACATCCTACATTGTAAGTGAACCACTAGATTCTGAATCTCTCTAACAATGACTCTGTAATATAACTATAAGGCCTAGGAAAAAAAATGTTGTGTTTCCGGTTACCCGACCGACCCTATGAAAAACCCCCCGACCCTAGCCTTTTTTGGGCCGACCAAAAATTTCGAGCGGCTAGCGGTCGGTTTTCAAAATTGGGGATTTTATCCCCGATAAATGTGCTCGTCTTTCCAATTTTCTTCGGTCGGGCGGCGTGGATCGAGCGCTAATTGCACGGATCGGGCCGCTATTCAATTACATTGTCGGCACAATCCTGTGAATTGACGATGAATTGTCGATCTCGCCATGACGCCACAAAGAAAACGTTGTCATTGGTAGAAAATCTGACACCCCGCTGGCGTTTCACAACAAAATTTTCATGTAAACAACTCCGACTGTCTTTGTTTACATCGCGAAAGCTCACCGATACAAAGTAAAACTCCCGCCGGCCGGCCGCGCCCGATCGCATGGTTGCGGCATGGCGCTAAGTTTTCGGCAGCTCGACGGAAAAATAATCCATCCCCAGAAGAAATGTTACGCATGAAAATAACAACTACAACTTGTTTTCCTCGTTATATGAGTTTTTGAGGCCGTAAAATGTTTAAAACGGTTGAAATTTGCTCGAAAAAACGGCTCGAAAATTCACGGCGAGAATGACAACATGGCCGACCTGTTTTCACAATAACAATGGTCAAAGGTCAAGATAGCATCCAAATGTATAGATACATGTAATAAGTACATACATGTATTACAGTGCTAAAACGATACTTTAAACGCATGAAAAATATTTTTTCGGCTACAACTGAAATAAAAATTCAGTTATATTTTAGTAAGGTTAATTTTCAAACATTACTGAGAAATTTTCCGAATTAATTGGTTTCTTGTGTAATATAATTTGTTGTTTCTATGTATGTGCGGTTGGGTGCTGTCATTGTAAAGACCCTTTACATATTGGGAGAATCAGATGAGATATTAGAGATTATCGCGCTTAGTACCGTGACCCGAGTGTCTCTCAAAAATTGTTTTTGAGTGGAGTTTATAAACATGATCACATTTTTATTTGTTCAGCTGTGTCAATATGTGATTTGTTTGAGAAATAGGATTTGGTTTAGTTTTTAATATATTAATGTCAGTTAACATCTTTGGAATAAATTGCTCCAAGTTCCAGGTAGTAAATACATGTACATTTTGTATCATGTATTTTTCACTTGTTGAACTTGTGGAAGCACCGTTGGCCCCCGGTTAGGGGTCATCCGGGGAACCTATGCCCAATTTTTTCAAAATTAAGGGTAGAATTTTTTTTGAACATGAGGATAATTAAGTACAGATCTTGAACCTTTCTACTGCTTTATACATCTGCAGTTGTACCGAAAATGTAGAACTGAAGTTGCAGGAAATGACCTCCATTTGTGTTTGGAAAAGACAAAATGCAATAGCTTCC